TCCCAGCTCCCATTGGTTGGGAATGGCAGTCTGCGGCCAATGGGAGCTGTGATTCCCTGTACCTGCTGAGGCGCAGGTAAACATGACGGTGTTGGGCTAATCCTGGTGGATCTTGACCGTAGGCCAGTATTTGCCCACTCCTGGCATAGATTATGTATCGCTGACAGGACTTGATTGTGACTATATATTGGTAGGCTCTACATATGCATAGTCTATAGCAGGAGTTCTATAGTGGTTCTACACAGGGAGAATTACCATATTGTATAGCTGTACAGATTAGATATGAAGAAAAAAAGATCAGAGATGTGATTGTATTGCAAAGACCAAAAGTGATAGCTTACATTGAGGCTGGGGAACCTTTTTTGAGTGGGGAGGCACTGACCCACAAAAAAATTAGTTGGGGCCACCAGTAGTAAAAGTAACTCAAAATTTCTTACAGGTACTGTCCTATTGCAACCCAGGTCCCTGTCAGATCTTTAAATAGTTCCCTTCTGGCTTTTGCTGCAGCTCAGACAGCCCTTGCCAGAGCTCTGCACCAGGGTGCACCCGCTTCCTTTCACCTCTGGGGGCCACACACCCATGAGAAAAGCAAAAAGAAAACCAAAACCCATCACCTCACTGATGTAGCCCCCAACTCAGAAGCAGCAAAACCCCAAGATACTTACCTCACTCGTGCTCCAGCGCCACACACTTACTCCCAGGCCAGATTGACTCTTCTGGGGGCCCAGGGACAGTAGATTTTGAGGGACTATATCAGCAGGAGCGAGAACACTCACTCTATAGTATCTGAGAGAGTGAATGGAATATGTTGTAGACAGGAATGACCCTAGCCATTTTGCTGGCCAGGACAGAAAATGTTTTCAGTGCCCACACCTTATGAGCAGCCAAGCAACGCCTCTGCTAGCCCACTCCTAAAACTAGACATCTTCACTCCTGCTGATACACATTTGATTGAAGTGTGTTACAGAACAAGGGACCCCAGTAATCCTTAAGTTCCTTTCCTAGGTATAATGTACTACCTTCTGCATTCCATTACAAAGACTGTCTGACATGAAGGGGACTGAGAAAGGTAAAATTCTGTGTTGCAAATTTTCATTTTCTGACCCTCCATGTCAGACAGTGTAACCCTCCTTCAGAAGACTGCATTATATCCAGAGTTTTTATCTGGCTATTGCTCACTTGTTAAGTAGTTTGAAAAGGGAAGAGAGTGTTCCTACAGGAAATCCTAGCTGCTGCAAATGATTTGAGTTGAATAGCACTTTTAGAAAGGTAATATTTTTCAGCTTTGGAAACTTTGGTACAGACCTCCTCAGAAAGTGAGAGATCATTCCACCCACAAAATTGCTACTCTTTTCCCTGATAGAGTAATAAAAGGATTTCTACTTAAGGTTTTGACTGTCTCTACTATATTCACCTTTATTCTTCTGTAGGCTCTATTCACATCTGACACATACATTTCCACATCCTTAGGCTGTTTGGATTCAACAAATAGGGCAACAATACCACTGCTACTATAAGAGGAAGTTTGTGGAGTCTTTGGAGATGTAGGCCTAATTAGTTCACAGAACTACCATGTTTGAAGTTTTCCTGCTTTTTCGTCAAGCTGTAGAAATAAAGGTTCCATGCCTATAAGAGAAGGAATATATCTTTGGGGAAAAAACATTACTTCTGTTTTCATTATTTTTACTGGCATATCCCTATACTGAGGCAGTTGAGCATGTGAGTGAGGTCCATATTGAGACAGATTAGTGGGCCACAGAGAAACCTTGCTCCCTGCAAGTGTGTAGAAAATTGATACTGAGACAGGTGCGCAGGGTGCATAGAAATGCTAAATGAAAGCTCATACTTCTCTCTGGAGGAATTTCTGCAAGGAAAACTGTATTTTCTGCTTCCCAGGCAGGAAGAGACCAGACGATTTTTTTCACACTAATCTAATTTGTTATACTCTGTAAATTTAAGTCTGACAGCACTTTCCTATTATTCATGTAGGTGTGAATATGGGATAAAATTTAAAATCACTTTGATGATTTTATTGAGCCTCATTCCTTAGACTTTCAATGAGATTAAGGCTCTTAGATACTTTTGTGACTTTGAAAGGGATTTAGGGAGTGATAAACCCGGCCCTCTTGGAAGAAGGGTGTTGAGCCTACCAGTCCCCACTGGTGTCCTCCACCCCACAGTGGTCACAGTCTGGCTTAGCTGTTCTAGTTAATAGCAGCCCCCATCAGCAGGGCAATAGGGCCCCAAAGGCTGAGTCAGTAGCAGCTCCTTCCCCCCCCCCCATCAGTGGGGCAATAGGGCCCAAAGGCAAAGTCAGTAGCGAGTGCACCTTATTGCAGGACAGTAAGGGCCTACTGGCCCAAGTCAATAGTTTAAGTGTTATGCCCCCTTTGGGGGCTAATGGGGCAGGGTAGGAGGATGCAGGCCCTCCCTCTCCACCGGCTCCCAGCCCCAGCCCTGTCAGTGGTGGGCATGTCCCACCACTAGCTCAGCGGGGAATCTGCCCAAAACACACTGAGCTTCCGAGGAGTTCTAGTTCCCTGCCCTGGGCTACTTCCTATCTTATTCAGGATTGCCAGCCTTTTCCCCATCTGCATCCTCCTAGCTGGTTGCTTCTCCAGACAGTCTCTGCTGGCTGTACTCTGCCACAGCATCTGTCTGCTTCTCCTCTGCTTCCTCCTCCCAAGTTCTAGCAGCAGTTCCTTTCCCTGTAGTGGCCAGTCTTGAGTGAGCTGCTCCACAGGCCTTTATACTGGTCCTCCAGTAGGAGCATGCCCAGCAGGGCTGTGAGGGTGGGGTTCTTTCAGCCTGACTGCTTCCAGCCCAGTGCAGTGTTAGTTTACCTTGTCACAGAGAGTTTGTAAAAGGTTACCTATAGTCACTTGTTTTACAATCTCTCTGTAAAACTGCAAATAAAGACTACTAGAATTTAGGCAAAACTGAACTGGATATCTGACTTAAGTGGGGCTACTGGTGGCCATTATTCTTATGGTCATGATCTGCCTAAATGCCAAGTGAGAAAGGTGGCAGTGTTACAGAACAGCTGGTAAAGATCATGATGGGGGAAGGGAGGAGAGAGAGAGTAATAGCTTTCAAGAATATGCCAGCTTTGTGGGCATATTATTTTCTTCGATATATATATACAGCTTCCACCAAAATCTTTAGGTGGTGAATATGCAATTTTTTCCTGTAATATATAGTGACTGTAATCAAACATTTTAATGTTGTATTATGCATAATATCTGGCCCAAAACTTATAGGGAATATTTACATCTTCAGTTATTGAATTTTCTTACCACTCTTCACTATAACAAAATACTGTATACACTGTAATTAAAACCCAAATTTGAATTCCCACCAAATTCAAACACTTGAGATTTAGTATTAGACGACAACTCCGGCCTATTGCAAGCTTCAAAAATACTTTTTATTCACATATAAAAAAGAATAAGGAAATATACATTGTAATAAAACATATTTCTTTTCCTCTACAAATAAGCACTGTAAATGATAATCATTTTGTTATTTCAATTCCTTATAAATAGACTGGTACAGAGTAAAGAAATCTTATGAAATAGAATATATTTTGGTAATAATATTATTTTACAGTTTCACTAAAACCTCAGGTTGTAACTTCCATGTACAATGTTAATCCTTATTTACAATATCATATATAATCTTCATTACCTGTGGCAGAGAAAATTATGTGTAGTTACCGTGCAGTCAATTATTTGGTTTTATTCAAATTCCATTTTAGTTTAAAAATCATTGCCACCACTTTAAATATTCAAAACAGAAATTATTTTTAAATCTCATTTTCAGCCCTTTATGCAGTTTATTGATGGCATTTTACTCAGGAGAGTGAATCAGTGTTGTAGGTAAGTGTTTAAATACATTAGAAGTTATTTTGTTCTCATTCAGTTTTAAAGAAAATACTTGTTTATTTTAGGTTTTGTAGTCTCCTCTCTCCCTTGTATGTATTTTGACACAAATCCAAAGTTGGTGTGTAAGCTCTGTGATAATCTCTATTTAAAAGCCTTATCGTTTGAGGGACAATTTCAAATGTGCAGTTGGGCATCCTGTTGAAAGTTAGTGGCAGCTGTAGTCTTTAACTCCCTTCTGTGCCTTTGAAAATGACCATTGGGTTCCACATTGCTCCAAGATAAACTTGTTTTTTCATATCACATTTTACTACAGGTAATACAAGTTACATATTTGCAACAATTTGCATATAGAACAATGATATGTGCAGATTATTTATCTGATGGAAGATTCAATGTGTCTGTTCATGCATATTTCTTGATAAATTGCTCAAAGAAATACCCAACTATTCCCAGTTATGAGAAGTAAGCTAGCCTGCTCCACATATAGTGTAATAATTTAAATCAGGATGTGTGGTTTTCAATGTCTTTTAATTAATTTCTACAAGGTGAACATTTTTTCTTCAGTTCTTAAAGCAACTTTATTTTAGAGACTTTTTTTTCCAGAACAGAACTAAAAAGCATTTTGAATTGGGATAGAAATGTTATCAGTTTAGAATGAAAAAAATTACAGTGGGGAGGGAAATTCATTCATTGGAAGGGAAAATAGTAACACTGCCCCTTTAAATAGTATTGTTACAACTAATTTCAAATTACTCTTAGATAGTGTAGGTAGTAAATAGAAAATAAAAGGCATAGTGACTAGTATAACTCAAAGCACCGTTA